CCGCGCTCTCCGGGCTGGATCCAGGGAAGGTGAGCACAGCTGAGAGTGTGCAGAGCTCCTTGTCTGGCACAACTTCAGCACCCTGCTACTGCCTCTCAAATCGATGCAGAGCAGGTGAGAACAGCTCTGAATTGTTTTTTAACCAGCTCAGCCCCCACAGCTTTTGTTTCAGTTTGGCAGCTTTGTTCCAGGGCGTCCAACTGTGGGGACTGTGGGGTTTTCACTCTGATTTGGAGCCTTAGCTGCAGACACTGAGAAATTCAAAGCAGTTCTGCTTTGGAGCCATCAGGAATATCCAGATTTAGCAGTTCTGGCTGCTCCCACTGGGAATTGGCCCTCATGGCCTGGCTTTGCTGTTTGAGCTTCATCAAGCAGCAGTGAAAGTGCAGGAAAATCAAATCCAGGAGGAAAACAAGGAATGCCCATCCTCAAGGGAGGTATGGGACACAGGAAGGAACAGCAGCACCCTCACAACACAGAAGCCTTCATTTCTCTTTGTTTAGTTGACAAACTGTGCATTTTGAAACCTAATATTCAGGAAAATGAGCCGAGTTTTTATCTTCATTCCTAATCAATCCCATCCACAAGTGCAGCCTTATAAAACCACAGGAGTTTTCCTTTGGCCCTGGGCTATGCAGGGCACAATTGGCCATCAGAATTTTCTCCTGAGATCACCTGACATAAATGGGTATTTCAGAAATGAAAACTGCATTTTGGAGCAGAAACTCAGCTGTGCTGACAGGGGCCAGGGCAGGAAGTGGTGAGAAATGCACCTGGTCAGAGCCTGAGCAGCACAGGGACATCCAGGGCAGGGTGAAAGCTCCTTACCTCCTTCCTTTCTTTCAGGTTGGTCAACATGACAATGATGGCTGATTTCTGCTCCCAGATCATCCTCCAGAAGTCATTGACTGTTTCCTGCTTGGGTCCTGCAGACAGAACAGGGAAATGCTGAGGAGAGGATGGGGCAGATCCCAGAGCAGTTCCACACCCTGGGCACCCACCCACAGCTGTGTCTGCTACACCTGCACAGCTTTGGAATCTACCAAATTTATATATTTATGTACTAAATAACCACCCCCCTTGTTTTCTTTTACATCATCATGCACCCAAATGTACATTTTTAGAAGGAATCTCCTCCCTTGAAATAGCACTCATAGAATCACAGAATGGTCTGAGTTGGAAAGGACTTTAAAGATCATTTAATAATTTACTTTCTACTCCTTGCCATGGCAGGGACACCTCCCACTGTCCCAGGTGCTCCAGCCCCAGTGTCCAGCCTGGCCTTAGGCACTGCCAGGGATCCAGGGGCAGCCCCAGCTGCTCTGGGAATTCCATCCCAGCTTTCCCCATCTTCACAGGGAACAATTCCTTCCCAATATCCCATCTAAATCCACCCACTTTCAGCTTAAAGCCATTCCCTGTGTCCTGTCCCTCCATCCTGGTCCCCAGTCCCTCTGCAGCTCTCCTGGAGCCCCTTCAGGCACTGGAAGAGTCTCTAACACATTAAATCTTAAATGTTATTTAATCTTTTCACTACTTTAACTCCTATTTCCAGCAGAGAGGGTCAGGAGGGGAAATGAGCCCCTGCCAGAGCAGAACCTACAGAAGTGCCTGGAGGCAGCTGTCACCTCACACTCACCTCAAATTCATCTCAGCTGCAACCTCCCAACCCAGCCTCCCCCTGACCACCACCTGCAGCTCAAAACAACCTCTCCACCACAACTATCATTAAATGTGCTCAGCCCTGAGCTACAGAGGAGAGAGACACGAGTAGGAGTTACCTTGTGCTGCTATAAATTTGTTCTTTTCTTTGTAGCCCTGTGGAAATAAATGCCACAGTTAAAAGGTGAAAGGCCAAGGTGTAAAGCAGAGAATTACTTCTTTAATGGCCAAAGTTTGGCCAGCTGTGGGCAGCCCTCAACTCACATCGATGTATGATGCATTGATGTAGTCTGAAGGTGGGACTCCATCAATTTGGGTCAAAATCACTCTGGAATGATCATCTGAAAGAAAAGAAGGACATTGGCAAGTTAGTAAATCTGAAATATGGTATTTCCTGGAAAACAGGAGGGCTGGAAAAGCACAGAGTTCCCAAACCACATGAGCAGCATTTCTGACCAGTGCATTTGTTGTTATTTGAGTATTTTCAGCACAGGAGCTGCACCAGCAGCCTGCTCAGTGCCAAAATGAATTCTCTGGTTTAAAAGGAAAGTGAATGGCTTACATGGCAGGATGTTGGGATATCTGTTCTTCTCCCTGTTTTCCTCCTTATTTGCCATTTCAAATGTTCCCTGCACATATCCAGACGTTAATGACTGAAAAAAAAAAAAAGATACAGAGTCAATGTGTTAGAAAACAAATAATTTTGACTGCACGCAGCTAAGGGAAAATTTGCATCCAACAAAACGAAATAAATCTCAACTTCTTCCCCCCCAGTAACTTTAATTCCTCCTTATCCTGGCAGGTTTGACTCCAGACAGGAGCTCAGCAGCTGGGGAGAGAGCAGGAATCTCTTCCCTCCGAGATCACAGTTATTTAGCGAATTGTTCAAGTCTGAGCTGCTGCCTGGAGCTGCCATCTGCCACGGTGACTCAGAGCACAGGGGCTGGGCTGAGCCCCCATCCACTGCTGAGGGCATCACAAACCCAACATCCTGCTCAGCTCTGCACCTGGTGAAAAGGAGGAAGGGAAAATAAAATAGATAATAATTTAATAAAAATTTATCATATTAATTTTTATATTTAGTAAAAATCAATATACAAAATATATATTTGTATATATACAAATATATTTATATTTAAAATAAATAACACAATATAAATATACAAATAATATATTTGTAATATTATAAATAATGATGATAATTTTATAATTATATTATTGTTTTTATTATTAGAATATATTATATTATATTATAATATTTCAACACTATATATAATGTTAATATACTATATATTACATAATATATTGTGTTATATAATATATAATATATATTATATAAATAATATATAATTATATATATAATTATGTATTATATATAATTTTATTATTAATAATATAACATAACAAAATATAACATTATATTATAATATAAGATATATTTTTAATATATAATTTTAATATATAATTTTATAAAAATTATATATATAATTATATATAATTATATGTAATTATATATATAATTATATGTATAATATATATAATAGAATATATATAATATATAAAATACAATAAATATAATCTATTATATATAATATAATACATATATACTATATAATATAATAAATATTATATAATATGATGTAATATAATATAATCTATTACATATTATTAAATAATATTATTGCATATTATTATTAAATAATATTATTATACTATTTATTAATAATAAAACTATTTTGTTACTATTGGGTTAAAATCATTTTAACCCATAAAAAGTTAAGGGTTTTTATGTAGTGTGAGTTGAGTTCTGAGTGCAGGTAAATTTAGTCTGGCTTGAAAAGAACCCAACAGCCATGGAGGGCAATAAACCAAAGGAAAAAACAGAGAGGAGGGCGAAGATGAAGGCAAGGAGGTGGCCAAGGTGAGCTCCTCCACAGCTGAGACGCTGCCACTGCAAATGGACCAAAGCAGAACTGAATTTGAGAAGTTTTGAAGTGGATTTTAGGAAGTTCCTCAAGCTGAGCTCCAAAAGCCCCAGCGAGGTAAAATCCCAGAGTGTGGGGAGGCAGCAGCACCTTGTGCCCCCTGTGCCACCCCTGCCAGGCTGAGTCACACGGGGCAAGGAGAAACGTGGGCAGGATGGGGCACAGCAGGGCTGGAATCCCCCAGAACTCACAGGGGACACAGGGGGACACAGGGGGACACTGGGGGACACAGGGGGACACTGGGGGCACAGGCAGCCCTGACCCCCAGCACACAGGGAACACCACCTTGCACTCCTGGGCTTGGCTTGTGGGGCTGTGAATGGAAAAGTGAGGGGGCTGAAAGAGGGCTGAGGAAGAAGGCTGCTGGTAGACTGCTTAATTCCTCATCTGAATGAAGCCCGTCGCTTTTTATCAGCCCACTTTGCTGATTAAAGTTAATTATGAAACACAAAACCAAAAAAGAAATAGGGGAAGGTGTCCCTGCCCATAGCAAGGGGTTGGAACTGGATGAACTTTAGGCTCCTTCCAACCCAAACTATTCTGTGACTCTATGAAATAATTATCTTTTCAACCACAATCTCTTCAAACTTCAAGTCAGGCACGCAATTTTCAATGAACAGCCAGAGAAGGTCTGGATTTTCCTGACAGCAGCTTTCCTCCTCAGCCCTCTTTCACCCTCCTGTCTTTTCCATTCCCAGCTCTGTGTGCCACAACAGCCCCAGCAAACCAAGCCCACTGTGATGGTGCTCACAGGGGTCCCAGGGTGAGGGGAAGAGATGAGGATCTGACTCCATGTTTCACAAGGCTGATTTATTATTTTATGATATATATTATATTAAAACTATACTAAAAGAATAGAAGAAAGGATTTCATCAGAAGGCTGGCTAAGAATAGAAAAAGAAGGAATGAATAACAAAGGCTTGTGTCTTGGACAGAGAGTCCGAGCCAGCTGGCT